GGCCTCCAGGGCCGTGGCCGCCCGAGGGTGCCGGGGCGCTTTGTGGCTGCGTGGTGCTCAGGCGCCAGGGGAGCTGGCCTGGCTGGGCGGGGCCGATCAGCGTCCAGTGGAACCGGAGGCCTGGGCGCGGGCAGCAGGGTGGGGCGGGCGAGAGCCACAGGGACACCCCACCTGACCCCCAACAGGGACCATCAAGGTGGAGGTGCTGGACGCCATCCCCACCGCAGGCCTCACCGTGGCTGACATCCCTGAGCTCTTGGACGGCTGCCACCAGGCCATGCGGGACACCTTCCTGCGCCTGTCCGCGACGCCCCCGGAGAACGGGGCCGGGGGCCTGGCCCAGGCCGCAGCCGAGTAGCCAGGCCAGGCGGGACCTGGGCGGGCGGCGGGAGGCAGGGCCTGGCCGGACAGCGGACGGAGGCCCCCGCACAGCGGCGTCCGGCCCTGCGGGCTCGGAGCCGGCCGGACCATCCCCAGCTCTGGGGCCTCCAGCCTCAGCCAGGCCACGGTGGGCTGACCGGCCGGCAGGACTGGGGCTGTGCCCTCCACCCGGGCCCTGGCCCGCGTGACTCCCGCCTGCCCACACCTGTGTGGGGTCTCGGGCCTGGGGCCTGGACCCCGCGTCCGGCCGCTGCCGACGGACCTGCACTTTTTATAAAGGACCCTCGGTGTGCACGCGGGCTGTGGTCACTGGGCACGGGCTGCGGCCGCGGCCCTGGCGCGGTCTCGGCGGGGGCACGGCGGGCGTCCCCGTCCCCGCCCTTCCCGTGGGGTCGTCCCTGGGTGGGGGGGGCACGGTGCCCAGCGGGCGGGGTCGCGCTGCACGGCGGTCAGAGCCCACCCAGCCACACACAGCCGTCCTCCGTCTCGCTTTTATTTAGATGCAGGTGGATGAGAGGCCCCAGCCGGGGGTCAGCAGGGCCTTCCCTCGGCCCTGGCCGGGGGGCAGGGGCAGGCGGGCGGGCGAGGAGCCGGGAGTCCGTGGAGGGGAGTCCGCGGAGGTGCCTGCCGCCTCACAGGTCCTTCTTGCAGGAGCCTGGGGGGGCTGAGGTCAGACGCTGCCCGCCCCCGCGGCCCCCCCCCCGGGCTGGGCCGGGGCTCACAGGATCCCAGCTGCTCCTCCAGGAAGGAGATCTGCTCGCTCAGGGAGTCGATGCGGTCCAGCTGCTGCAGCGAGTGGGCCAGGAGGCGGCCGGGGGCGGCCAGCCCGTGCAGCGGGCCCAGCACCAGCTGCAGCTGCTGC